AAAACAAACAAAACCAACATTAAAACTAATGCCTTGAGTTGAGGATTCAGAAAAACAGGATAAATAGTAAACACATAAAAAATTTAAAATCAATACCCTAGATTTCTTCTTCTAGCAGTAGTGACAAGTATCAGATTAACCCCAAAAGGGATAATCATGAACACCAGACAGAGAACCAAATTGGTAGTGAACACTTATAATTTTGGCACTTTAAAGACAGAGGTCAGTGTCTGAGCTACATAGTGAGACCCTGTCTCAGGAAGAAAATTTAAACATATATGTATATACCAGGCATTCAGACACTAAAAGTCCAAGCCAGAGACTGGGAGAAAATACATATAAAATACATTTGATAAAAGACCTCTGTGAAAAATATAAAAAGTGGTGCTGGAGAGATAGTTGGGTGGTTAAAAGCACTTCCTGCTCTTACGCACCCCCATGGCAGCATACGGCCATCTGAAACTCCAGTTACAGGGTTTCTGAAGCCCTCTTCTGACTCCACCAGCACCAGGCATGCACAAGGTACGGAAGCACACATGCAGGCAAAGCATCCACACATAAAATAAAAATACGTAAGTCCGTGTGTGTGTGTGTGTGTGTGTGTGTGTGTGTGTGTGTGTGTGTGTGTTGAAAATTAAGCTATTAAACAAACCAATTAAAAAATAGGCAAAGACCTGAATAAAAATCTCCCCAAAGAAGATACACAGATGTCAAGTAAACATAATGAAAAATACTCAAAATCATACCTCATTAGGAAGTTGCAAAGTTAAACAAACTCTGCTATGTAGTTCATTAGAACAAGTAAAATCCAAACCACAGGTAACACCAGATTCAGAACTACGTGAAGCAGAGAGAGTTTCATTGGTCGCTAATGGGAATGTATACTAGCACAGCCACATTGAAGACATTTGGCAGTTTCATACAAAACTAAAACAGTCTTACCACATACAACTTCACAATCACGCTTAGGAGGTATGCACTCAGGAGTATAACAACATGAACCCTGAACATGTAACTACTAAAGCTAGAAGTAAATGAAATATCCTTTGATAGGTGCACAGACAATGGTGATATACCCAGACAGTGGAACTTCAGTGTGGTAAGAAATGAACTACCAAGCCATAGAATTAATTCCTTAAGTGTATAATGATAAAAGTTTGTTTTCTTTCTTTCTTTCTTTCTTTTTTAAGCCAACCTGAAAATATGCATGCTGTATGATTCTAAGTATGTGACATTCTGATAAAAGGCCTGTGGCTGCCAGCACAGATGGGCCAGCTGTAGACAAAATCCCAGGGGGTCCCTGGGCTCACTCTCAGGCTACTCTTCAGAGAAGACAGATCCATTTGTGTGCACAGCAAGTGAATCAAGAGTGGGCCATGATCAAGTTTTCCTCAGGGAGCCTGGTGGCTAAGGAGTTAAAAGTCAGCCCTCTCTACCATTCTGTCTTCCCAGACAAAGTGTGTGTGACTGACTGCACACACATGTGGGTGTGCATGGGGTAGCTCATACGGCCTATTCAGAGATCAGTGCTGCCTGGCCTTCCATAGGCTCTGCCTCTCTCCCTGGAATGGTTTCTTTCACTCTAATGTCTGTCTGTGAGGACCACATCCATCAGCCTTCTAACTACATGGCTTATTCACTATGCTCTCACTGCATGCTCCTTTCTGGTTTCACACACACAGGCATGAGCAAGGGAGGAGAGCAAGTCGCACAAGGGGGTGGGGTCTAGAGCAAGGCTACAGGAGCACATGACTAGGCAGAGGACAGCTCCGAGACCCTTGTCCTCACCTACCCACCCCCAGCACCAGTCCTTACCACCTTTGGCAAGCAACAAAAGATGAAGATGGAAGTGCCCACCTTCCACTGTGTCCCCAGCACTCGGACCCTGAGCCTGGCATAAGCCAGCAATGTGAAAACAGTTTTTTAGGAGGAGGGACAAGGATATTTAACATCTATCTGCCTCCAGGGCAATGGAAAGCCAAGATATCAAAGGACAGCTACTGATAGCAAAGAACGTGGTCTCCATCGGGAGAAAATTCGGAGAAGTAATCTGGGTCCCCAGTCACTGACAGAGAGCAGCAGCAATGGGGTGGCTGGGCCTGCCATTGGTACAGGAAGATACTCACTGGGCACGACAGTGGTCTCCCCGGGGGGGCCTGTCAGGGTCACTGGGACATGCACAGTGGTGCTGGGGTCTGAAGGCTGACTGCCCATCCGGGTGACATTACGCTGGTTGTCTGCATCTTCTGGTTGTTCTTCCACTTTCTGGAGACAGGTGCTGGGCAGCATGTGCAGAGGGCCCACACCTGTAACTGCAATGGCCTCCAGATCACAGTGAGGTTCCCTGAAACCAGAATGCTCATTAGTCTGACGCAGTAGGTGAAACTCCTTATGGCTTTCTCTCTATACAAGGCAAGTAAATCTGGGGCTACCACCTCTCCTCATGTTCTGCATGGTTCCTATTACCCTACACACATTGTCATTAGGTCTAAAAGGAGGGTATAGAGCTGACCCATCTGCTTTTAACAGAGCCAGACACTATTGGTATTATAGTCTGTAGGAGGATCAAAACCCCTTGGAAAAAGAAGCAGTCTAAAGTAGGCCATTTTCCCCCAGGACACCCTGCCAGGGATATCCTCCACCCGACTCCCCAGGAAAGGCCCAGCGCAGAGTTCTACCCACAGAAGGCAGTGCTCTGTAGACTGATGGTCAACAACGGCCTCCAGCTGTGCCTAACCTGGTTTCTGCCGGTCAGCGGTCAACGAGCAAGCACAAAGACCATGGCTTCAACCTCGACCTCCAGTCTCCATGTTTCTTCAAGAGTCAGAGCCAAAAAGCGGGACAGTACCCTCTGGTCCATTTTTTGTAAACTCAGCTGGCAACCTTGCTTGTTTCTCCTCTCCCAACATCCTCCCCTTCATCTACAGTACCCCCAATTTTCTCTTCTCCTGGGTGCTCTGCTCCTTCCCAGGTCAATGTGTTCCCAATGTCTCCAGTCTCTCCCTAAGTCCTTTGTCCCTCCCTGTGTGTCACTGAGTACACACTAGTTGCCACAAGGGATTTACCAAAGGGAAAATTGGGAGTGTGTGTGGGGGGGGGGGGGAGGGACAACAGGAGCAGCCTGGCGGAATCATCCTGTACCTTTCTATTATTTGCGGAAGGGCTCCTAGCCCCCCTCCCCCATACCCTGCCTCTTACATACTTGGGCTGGTGGTTTCGGGTTTCCTTGTCCGCTTCTGCCACGATGCTCTCCTTCTCTACAGCCTCCTTCTCAGGGGCCTCAAGTGTTGGTGGCCCCTTATGCCTTGCACGGTGCCGGCGTGTGGGCTCCTCGCTGTTCTCTGCCTCGCGGGGGCCCGTGCGGGGGCCTCGATGACGTGGGCGTCGCTCGCCCTTGGGTGCCAGCACTGGTGCGGTGCCCTCTTTACCCGAGTCCTGTGCATGCCGGTGGGCACGGTGTCGCCGGGGCTCGCGTTCAGCGGCCTCCTCTTCCGGGGAGCCACGCCGGTGGTGACGCCTGTTGCGCTCACAGCGTGCTTGCACTTCAGCCCCTGCAGCATCCTTGCTGTGACTGCGGCGAGGGCGCGGACGTTCCTCCCGGGTCGTGGTCGTTTCGGTGTTTTCGCTCTTGGGACAGTCTGTCCTGTCCTGTTCGCCGCCGCCAGCAGGGGCCGTGGCTGAGCCCTTGTCCCTATCACGGTGCCGGTGGTGCCTGCGTGGAGGGTCTGCACTTTCAGGCGCCTCCGTGCCTTCGGGCTTCGACTTGTTCCCCACAGGTCCCCGCAAGCCATCCCGGCCAGGCTCCACCACTAGGGGCCGGTCCATGTGTGTCTTCATGTCTGGCCTCACATGGCGTGTGCTGGCATAACGCAGGCGCTCCTCGGGGTCCATCTCGCTGTACAGTGCCTCACAGCTGGCACGCAGGTTCTGCAGCCTTAGCTGACTGGCCCGCTGCTCCCACACTGAGCGCGCCTTGGCCGAATTCTGCTGCCTGCTGCGGGGAGACTATCATGAGTGTCACCATCCAGCTTATCTCTGCCTCACAGGGAAGCCGCAGATGAACACAAGCGATGGAGGAATGTGGGGACAGGGAAGGAGAGGTAACCAGAGCCTTAAAGACCCCTGCAATGTTGCTGATGGGGGAAGAATGGGGGTAGGGGTGCAGTTCAGCTCCTCCTGTCAATGTCCCAGAGTCTGAAAGGTGCAAGGCTGTGAGGATGCCAGGTACCAGCATGAGTAGGTAAACGGGCAGCTAGCCAGGAAGGCAAAATGGGAAGGGAGACCATCTTGCAAACCGAGAAGAACCGGTGGAGGCACCCTGCAGTCTGCCTTGGGAGCTGGCGGCCCAGGAGGGCTAGACAAATGGACACCTCTAGAGGCACTTACCCTTGGTACCTCCCAAGGGAGCAGGTGGCCCTGTCGTGAGCAAACAGAACTTCTGCTGCATTCTGAAGCACTCAGGCAGCCCCCACTATTTGGCTCAACCAATTACCAGGAGCCAAAGTCATGTCTAGAGCGGAGGAAACCTGTTTTGCAGCCACCAGTGCCCTCCTGGCTCTGTGGGGAGCCTCATACTCCACTGAGAAGAGAGTTGGACATACCTAGAAATCCTCCAGCAACAGGGGTGGGCAGCAGTCTAGTTCAGTTCTCACTGAACCATAAAAGGCCTCACCTTCATTCAAATCTCACTGGCCCAGACATCTTCTGTTCCCACATCCTAAACAGAGAGCTCTTGTCCATTCTGGGTTCTTTACTGAATAAAGCCAGCAAAGGATGTGGCCCCAGGCCCACCTCTGCCAAGTGGAGACCTCATTTGAGGCTACAGCCTCATCCTTCGGTCTGGAGGCTTCTGGATAACCCCGGCATTGTCTGGGGGTTCACTAACAATGACAGCGACAGCATCAGTGCTCTGGGTTCCATACCCACCTCATACAGCCTTTATGACCACCTCGAGGACAGGTGCTTTTCCTGTGCCCATTTCAAAGGATGAGCACTGAGCTTAGAAAGAGGGCATGATCTACTTGGGGTCCAGAGTTAGTCGTTGATGGAGTTAGGTTCACATGCATACAGGGCAGGAGGGAAGAAGTGCCTGAAGAACACGCAAGCTCTCAGCCAGACCCCAACTGCCTCAAACCACAGGTGCAAACTGTGCCCCAGGGGACAGCCCAGTCACCGGAAGACTGTTCAGTGGGAGGCTTGCAAATCTTATCCTTTCTCTGTGTGAGGAGCCAGCCCCGGGCAAGTCTGAAAGCCGATAAAGAACAACAGAAGCTGTGCCTCCTCCCCTAGGAGCTCAGGTGAGGTTGACAGAACAACAAGACGCATCTGCTACTTGTCCTCACCGGGACATCACACCCATGATAGCTCTGCTCCAAGAATGCCCTCTAATACCCACAGAGCTTCCTTGTCCCTGTAGGGCTCATCTTTGCACAACGCTGGAAGACAAGAAAAGGAACAGGGCCTGAAGATATGCACCCATCTTCAAGATCCTGGGAGGGTTGGTATCTGGTCACTTCCTGGACCTCTCAACCAGTCAGTACACCAAGATGGGCCTGGCTTCTGAGTCCTCTCATCAGCAGAGAGCTGGCTGGCTCAAAGGAGCATCAGGGCTGGGGCCAGCACCACAGCTCTCTGTTGTGAACGATGGGCATTGACGACAACAAGGGTATGCACGTATGCACAGGCCTGACGCCCCAGCTCTGTGGGATGGCAGGAATGGGCTCGCTCAGGTCTAGCCTTGCCCCAGGTATGACCCTCTCTCAGGAACCACCTCAAGTACAGAAGAATACAGGTTGCCCATGGGACTGGAGGGTATCACTGAGCTTGCAGGGGCCCCTCAAAACATAGAACAATACCAACTAGCTGGCTAAGGGCCACCCACTCACCTCTGCTGGCTGCTACAGCCTCCCAGTCCATTGCTCTGAGACCTAATAACACCAGACTGTTAATCTGATTCACAAACCCATAGAGACCACGGGCTCCTCCCAGGACAGATTCCCGAGTCTCATTCTACACATCTGGGCCATCCTGCCCTTGCCCTGGTCACTCTCTACAGCTGTTCTTTGACCTCTGCCCATTGTGGCTAGGACAGACAGCTCACTCTGTTCCTCTTCAACAACTTCAGAAGCAATTCAAGATCCTCTCTTGAAAGGCAAACTCCTTGCTGACCTATCTTGCTATATGGCTGGCAGCACTCCTCAGGCAGAATCCACACTGAACAGGGCTCCCTAAGGAGCCCCGGGGAAGAGCTGCTCTCAGGACGTCCTGGTCCCAGTTTTAAACGCTATCCAGCCATATATGGAAGGTGTGAGGCTCTCAGCTAAGGCACTCAGGACAACTCAAGAAATTCCTTTCACTCAGAAAGGAATCTTGAGTGTCTGTGCTCCTGCTGTGAGTCTCTGGGCAGAGCTGGCCTGTCACCTGATGCTATGGAAGGGTGAGGCATCCCCGGTATGTACCACTGACACCTCACTTCTGCCATATGGAAGTTACTGAGCACTCAAGAGACTTTCTCACTCTACCAGGCATCAGGGCCCCAACACCCGGCGGCATCTCACACTTGTGAGAAGACTCAGACTGCTCTGTGCTGCTGTCAAGGAGGCCCACAAAGCAGCCACGAGACACAGAGGGGACCCGACTATCCACGCAGAGGGCCCAACTACAAACGTTCCTTCTCTACCATGAGGAGCCGCCGGCAGCAGACAACACCAGCACTTCCCTGGGAGCTCAGGTGAAGTCAGGAGGGAAACAGGACTGTCACTTACAGGTCCGGGCCCCATCCTTGAGGGAAGAATCAGGAGCACATCTCCCAGGAAGAGCTACTCAGGGCAACTAGCCAGGCTGGTGTCACTGCCAGGAAGGCCAGCTTGGTCTGCTCCCTACCTTACTATCCTCCCCTGTGAACAGAATGTGGGTCCCCATTCTGCTCCCAGGCCCTCAGCATTCATCCCTGGATTTTTAGTATTCCCCTAGCCTATGTACTACAAGCTCTATAGAAGCTTTGTTCAAACTAAAACAAGGCTGCCTCAGTTTAACTGACTCATCTCCCCAAAGTAAGGAGGGGCTAAGAGGAGCCAAGGAATTGTCACCAAGAACTCTCTCTGTCACCCCTGTGCACAGGACTTCATGAAAAGCACAGAAGACCTGAGTCTACAGAGTTCCAGCCTATCCAAGAAGTAGATACATACAAGGTACTAGAGTGACTGCACACAGACAGACAGCAGACAAAAGGACAGAGACCAGAAGGGAGAGGAAGGCCAAGCTCAGAAAGACCTGGGCCTGTGAGGAGGACTTGGGGACAACAGGGAACATGCCCACTACTCCCACAAAAGGCTGGGCTGGAGCTGCCCATGAAGCAAATGACTGGGGGGAAGCAGTCAGGTGTGGAGGGAAGAGGTGTGCACATAGTTATCATGGAGCCACAGATGGAGAATTGTAGCAGAACCACTCACGGTGAGTTTACGCTGGAGACAGATGAGCTGCGAGATACAGTACCTCGAGTTTGCTTTACAAAACTGCACATGCAAGAAACAAAACATAAACAGGAGTGAGAAAACCAGAGAACGTTCTGAGACACAAGTGGCACTTGGGCACCATGTCAGTGCAGGTGCGGGCCGCAGTGCACATCTGGCAGAAGGCTGCAGATGCATCCACCAGACAGGCACTGGCCAAGACCAGGGCTAAAGAGAAGCTGAGAACCAATTCTACATGTGCAGAAAAGTGAGGCTAAAGTGAGCCAGTAAACCCTACATGGCTAGAAGACAAGACACAGTTCTCTCCGAGACCATCCATCACCACAGCCTGGCCCACACTGCCCTGGGAGGAATGGTCTGGGAAGAGTTACAGCCACCTTTATTGCAATTCCAACAGTCTCCCACACCTAGAGACCCAGGCAGGCTGACCTAAAGCTGTGGGCTTTGGATGAGCACATGGCAAATACAGGAGGCAAGAGCACCCTTACCATGTGAGGCTACAGGCACCCACCCCACCTGGCTTCCCCAAAAGCACCTGGCCTTTGCTCCCAGACCCTCAGTTCCCAGATTCAAGTCCCACGGCTTCTAGGTCACGGTGACCCCAGGAAGGAATCAGGCTATGTTACCAATCCACCTCCCATGTAGCTATTGCAGCCACTTCCAAGTGATGGGAAGAAGATTTTCCAAAAACAACAGAGAAAGCAAAAATCTCTTAACAGTCACTTCTTTTCACACTGTCTTCCCAGGGATGGTCGGGGCTTTCCAGTGTCCCTTTTTAAAGGCTGAGACCTTTACACACTGTACATTGAAAACAGTTCACCTTCACAAAGGCCCCAGTGTGAGCAGGCATGTAAGTATATCACAATTCTGCCGAGACAGTGACTGTGAGTGTGAAATTGGGAGCATGAATACAGGACTTGTGACTGAGAATTTGAGTGTGTGAATTGAGTGGGAGATCATATGCCTATGTGTGAATGTATGTGATAACATGTAATATTGTGAACGTAAGACTATGCAAGACATGAGTGGGATTCCGTGTGTGTGTGTGTGTGTGTGTGTGTGTGTGTGTGTGTGCGCGCGCGCGCGCACGTGCGTGCACACCTAGAAGACTAGGCAAAGATGAGGAGTCACAGCAGAGAGCAGAAGATACTCTACACTTAGTGGCCTACTCCTTAGGAGCTTCCATGGGGGCTACACAGGACTGTGCCTCACCCCAGCAATTCTGGAACCACCTGCCATGCTTGCCAGAGCACAGAAGGCCTCACTCACCATGCATACTGAAGGTCCTTCAGCAGCCCCACGCCACCCCAGGAAACACCGCTGTAAGACTGCCAAGGTTTCTGACAGCCACATTCTCCCCAGTCTGGCAGCAAACCACCAGAGGGAGCTCACATACAGCTCCTGAGCCCTCAGAGGTCTTAGCATGAGTGGCAAGAGCCAACAACAGCAGCCCTCACACTCAGTACCATGCACACATAGGAGAGGGCTCACCTAGCGTGGCCGATTCCCCAGAATCTCTAGTCAAGTCAGACTAACATATACTGTTGTACATAGCCCGTCTCTGGGGATGCACATCTGCAACAGTGTCTCCAAGCAGGGACAGTGGGGGAAGGAATGTAGGGGCAGTTCCTTCTGGGCTACGCTAAGGTCTCTCTTCCCTAGGCATCAGTCTAGACAGGAACACCTCCAGGAATGGCAGCCCTAGAGGCAGCAGGAGCTGCTCATATCTAGGAACAGCAGAGAAGGCACATGCTAAAAAGAACATCACTTCATGCCACAGGTCTACGTGAGGCTGGGAGCTCATCATGCCAAATGTTTACCTGCCACCCTCTCTACAACTGACCACCACCAGCTCACAGAGCTCATATGAAAGATACAAGGAGGGACCTGTCAGGTCTCATCAACCTTAGGATCAAGTTACTGAATTAAACTGGCCAGCTCGTCAGTAATTGAACTAGCCAGACAGTGGAATAACAGGGTGGAACACTGAGCTCCACAAGCCATCTAAGCAACCAATGCCATGCCCCAAGCCTGCTGGTTCCCAGGAGCTCAGTCCCCATGGGCTGCAGCCATTCTGGCTGACAATTCCCATGCCAAATGCTTTCTCTACACTTAGAGACAAGTGCTCTGAAAATACTATCTGATGACCTCTTGGAAGAAACAGAACCACTTTGGGTACACACACACACACACACACACACACACACACACACACACACACTCACATACTCAATCACTACACCAACATCCACAACCAACCAATTCCAACACATAATTTAGCAGTGCAGGCATAAGTCACCACAAGGTGCCAAGTCAAGGTCATGTGCCCAGCCTATGAAAAGTATGTGGCAAGATGAGTGTGCAGCTTCAATGCCAGCAGGGTACTTCTCCAAAGAGTCACCTATGGCCAAGCCACGTGCCCAACTGTCCTGACTCCTACACACCAAACTCCTCCCAAGTCCCTAGACCTCTATGAATGTCACTGTACCTGAGAGTCAGCGAGCTGGCAGGGAGACTGGATCTTCCCAGAGTACACCTGCCCTTTCTCATCACAGATGCCTCCATGCCAAGCACTTGCAGAGACATTTTTGGAAGTGGCTGGGCTATCAAGGTGCCACTAAAACCTTCTGTCTCACAAAGTACATTTCTGGAAAAGTGTGTGTAAAATCTACATGCTGACTCTTTGCTCCCCTGACCCCAGCCAGGGCTTTGCCAAGGAATGAGTACTAGGGCCACCCAAACACCATCCAGTGAATCAGAAGACCAGCTAACCCTACCCAACACGAAGGCCACATCCTCACACTCTGCCCATGTTCAGGCTGGGGAAAGCCATAAAGTATGCCCAAGTGAGCCCTGTGCTCAGACTCCTTTCAACACAGTTCAAGGGGACGGCTGTGCCTTCACCAGGCCTGGCCAAGGCAGGGGTTCTGAGGAAGACATAGGCTCTGCTGCTTCCCAAAGCCACCCATATTCCATCCCCGGGAGCCTTACGCGGCGATGGAGATGTTGGCAGCAGACATGGGGCTGACTTCAGCTACTTCTTTGGCCTTCTGAAGAGCAAGCTTCTGATTGGCTGCTTCTTCCATCTCCTCTTCATCCTGTTTGAACAACAAAACGGGCTGTCTTCTTAAGGTGCTGTGGCCACTCTGAGGCTACCTGCTCTTCTTCCTAATGCCTGTATGTGTCTTCTGCCCTCCAGACCCTGGAGCAGACGTCCAGGTCCTGGGTGGGCAGAGTGACCCAGGATGAGTTCTCTGTAGTATTCTTCAAGACCTCCTCTCCTAAGTCTGTGGCTAGAAGTGATAGTATCCAGGATTCCTGCATCAATGTTGTCTAGCTTGTGCCGTCTCCAGCAGGTTTCACAACGTGATGACTCCGTATCTGTGCCTGTAGCCAGACCTTATTCCTGAGCACCCCTAGACCAGTACAAACCCACTACCAGAATTTTTTTTAAACCTCAGGTTTATCACAGCAAACCTGTTCCTGTCTCCATCCCTGTGTCCTTCTAGGAACTCCTGAACCACTTGAACAAATGTGGCCTACCCCACAAGGCCAGGAATGAGGACAAGATGCCAAGCTCTTCCTGTTCCCACTAGGACTATATTCCACCTTTGAGTTTCTCTGCCTGAACCACTCAGATTCCATGAAGCCCCACATGGCTGTTTGCCACTGAAATGGGACTTGTGTTTGTGCAGTTACCTGTCCAGGAAGAGGAATCAACAGCTGAGTCCCCATGTCGCTAAGCGAAACCAACAAGCTATGCTCCAGGACTCTGAATCAATACCGCTGCTGAGTCCATGACCCAAGAAGGAAGACCTCCATGTTGTTCATGTTAACTACTGGGTCCCCCATGGTTTCTTAAAACTCCCAAGCCTAGGCCTACTTAGCTCCCCTGAAAGCTAGCATTCCTTAAAATGTACCCTAATCTGCTTGAGGAGCACAAAAGAGAAGACCCTCAGGCTTCAGGCCCAGGAAAGAGATAACTAGTTCCCTCATACAGCACTCCCAACCATGTACTCTTTAAAGGTAGGAGACCAGTCCTGGTTTACAGCACCCTGGGAAAGAGCCCTCCTAATCACTCCAAGGTAGGTATATGTTAAATGCCCTAAATATCCCATGAATAATTTGTTTGAATTTATTTCCACTTCACAGAAACATAAT